CCTCCATCCTGATGAGGCTGTGTGTGTCTGGCATAATTAAAGGTTAATTAGGCTTAGCAGAGAATGTGAACATGACTGCATCTTAGTGACTGGGCCGGGGAGGGTGTTCTAGGTCTTCTTCCTTGCTGCAAGACCCCTAATGGTGTTTATTACATTATTTAATGTGAAATGACCGTAAACCAGGTCTCTTCTCCACTCCTGTTGCACTGTATAGACCTACCTGTTCAGAGGCAGTGACTCTCAGAGCCTTTTTGGAGGCTTTAACTTCAGGGGTGCCGAGAATACCTGTCTCTAGCAGGTCTGTCCTACTGTGCTGGGAACTGGGGGTTATGCACCAAGTCCACTCAGGCAGAGGTGGGAACTGAAACTGAGTGTCCCATACCTTGGGAAAGTACTTTATCTGTTGTGCTTTTGTACAAAATGAGACACTAACTTATTTCTGTTTGTATATCCGTTTGCAAAGTAGGTAAGGCCCCTTCTTCAGTGAGGAGGGTCAGGGCTGTGAATCCCATGTTGAAAAGTGATGCTTTCTTGCGTCCCATGTTTAGGTGGCAAAGATCAAAGTCAATGATTGACAAGTGCCTTTATCCTCAGTGTTTCTTACAGGTTACTTTAGGATCACATGTTGAACATGATGGTATGGTTTCTAGCATGTGGATGTCTGATCCTTTCCACACAGTATATAGGAAACAGTGCTTTGGTTTCCACTCCATAGATTTAAGACATTAAATGTTCATCTTTATGAAAACAGCACTTCAAAGCCTACCTCACTTTACCCTCCCTTTATTACTATTCTTATGTACTTGCTAAATTTTGCTGTCATGAATAATTACACTGTCTCAATGAAGCACTAAGACGCCTGAATTAGGGATGAAGATCCCTCATTGGAAGTGGTTGTGTGGTCCACATCTAGATGTTCGTGTCACTTAGGTCAGCTCCTTGCCAGGAATGTGAGGACTTCTTTCTCTAAATTCAGGTGACCACTTCTGGATTTAGAGGATAGTGTATCTGATGTGGTTAGCAGTCTGCATTTTTGCTGACTTCATAGCTCTGTTACTTCCAGTTATACATTAACCCCTGCACAGGTTGCTGGGGGTAAATGAGATTAGCAGTCTGAAAACTATTCATTGTATCTGGAGAAGGAAATTTGTAAATTCTTTCCTGGCTTTTGGCTTGGTCACATCAATGTATTTCACTTCTATTTTGTTGTGTGCTCTCACAGAACAATTTAAGTTTCTGTATTTTGTGGAAAAACAGTCAGTGTTATGTTTTTGCCATTTTCCAACATAGGTCATTCAAGGCTATACATTTTCTTATGCCAGAAAGCATGTTTTGAATTACTGCTATGATGATCATGTGCTTTCTTTTTTAAAAGCATTTTTATAAGCTTTTTGTGCCTGGTAAAATGTGCAGCCTTTGCTATGTAACTTTGAAGACAACATCACAGAAGATGTAGAGAACTTGTGCCTAGTTATTAATTGGTCAAGGTCTTTATTTTACCTGTGTTTGGAGATTCTCCTTCCCAGAACTGTGGTTTTTGCTCACCTCTATCTAAATAATGCATACATCTTTCTTGAGTGTTTATGAGGCAGATGGCAGAGAGCTGCAGCTTCTGCTAAAGGAAACATGCCTTTATTTTATTCTTCGTGGTCATGGCACAGTATACAGCTAGAGAGCATTCGGCTCTGGCAAGAGGATCAGCTTGATGAGCTGTGCATCCTGGGTGGTTTCAGTACATATTTGGGTCATTTTTACCTTAGCATCTTAAAGTCCGTTACTGACACTTTATAGAGCTAAAACTCTTTGGGACACTGTCACTCTCAGATGTAGTCTGCCCTGGCGGTCTTATCTGTCTTTTCATAAGCTGTGCTAAACTTCTGTAGCTGCAGTAAGAATAAACATTTTGAATGGGTAGTGGACATTTTTAAGACATTTTGTTTGAAAAGGCATGTTGTCGATACCCCTCATCTTTCAGACCATGTTGTCGATACCCCTCATCTTTCAGGCACTGGTACCTAAGGTAGTGGCTCTTACCTGCTGCAATATTAACCTAAAGGAAGGTCTGCTGATGGTCCCTGTAAGACCAAGATAACTTGTAGCCAGCAAGGCAGGCTGGGGGCAATTAGTGGGGTTGTAGAAATGCAGTGTGATGTGGATGTTTGTGACTGTTTCATCACTTTTTAAGCCATGTAGGCCTGTCCAGTGGAAATATGTTACTAGCACCGTCATTGTGTAATTAATAATGCTCTTCCCTACATTCAGCAAAGTCTTTAATTACTTCTCTTGTTACAAATTTAGTTTGATGTAGTTGTCCTTTCACGCATGTTGAAACTGGGAGTGGAGGTAGGAATAAGGAGGTACAGTGGGGTCATGTTGAAACATGAAGACCAAAATAACCTGCTACCTTTCGTGTTTTCATTTAAACCCCAATGAATATTTATTTAGACATTTCAGCTTTAATAACAGACTGACTGGAGCATTGCCAGAAAAACATATGGCATTTAGCAGCGGTAATCAGTTAAGATTTACTGATGGAAAGTACCAATGGAAAGTACTGCAGATAACGTATTCTGGGATACGTTGTTGTATTTGCACCAGCTTTCTTCAGAAGCTGTTGCTCAGGTTGTTACTGTCTTACAGAATTTTAAAATAATGTAAAATGTAGTATTAGAACTTGATATATAAACAAAAATATTAAGTAATAGGGGGATTTTGTTGTTTCTGTCTCAGGACATATAATTCATAGTGCAGTCCATTGACTGCAGGGACCCCAGCAGTGGGGACTGTTGCTGAAGTCAAGAAACTGTTTCCATAGGCTTGGGTTTATGCCATGAAGTGTGAATTGTGAATCTGTAATGCCTGGGCTTTTTTTCAGGGATATGTATTGAACCTTAGCTGCCTAGCACTAGAGCGGAATACCTCCCTTGCCAGTTGTACCCAGTGGATTTATATACAAGAGGGGATGTGCTGGGGAAGGTAATAAGCATGCAAGAAGCAATAGAGAGCCTGACGTGTTTTTTATTCCTGGTTGTTGGTTTAAGACCAGTGCTTGGAAAGCTTTACTTGCCACAAGAAAGTATCACCAGTTTTGCCAAATCACGTTTCCATACGATTTTAGCTGCCAAAAACTTCTTTAGAAAATAATGCTTTTGTACTATTTATAAAGAAAAGCTTTGGGATCTTGGCAGACATACAGAAATGGCTTGTAGCATTAGTAGTTCTCAAGACGGCAGTCACTAAAACTATGTTAAAAGCTAAGGAAGGAGAAGCAAAATGAGAGGCATAGGGATGTTTTAATGGTACGCGATACTGCAAGGCCTGCCAGGACTGGAAGTGAAATAATACATAGTATACTGTTTCTAAAATGGGAATTTCCAGTTTCCTCTAAGTATAGAGTTCCTGTTCTTGTGCTTTATGAGATACCATCTTAAAATGAAATAAATGCTGTGGTGTAGCATGGAAGTTTTGGCAGTGGTCTGGGTTGTTTTTTTTTATTAATTTTTTACTTTTTAAGAAACAAATACCTCAGACCTTGACAAGTGTAGCTTCTAATCCAGTCCCCGGCACGCATGGCAGGGTGGTTGGACTAGCTGATCTTTAAAGTTCCTTTCTAGCCCAACCCATGCAATATAATTCTGTGGTCTTCAAAAAGCAGTTACATTGCTTTAGGAATATAGACTGGGGAAAATCTTTAGTGGTGTCTTCCCATCTTTGCAGAAAGTAAATCTCTGATGCAGACTAAGGATTTTTTCATAATTTTCAATGACAGACAACCTGGAATGAAGTTTGTTGAGAGTTTTGATTTCAGATATTTTGCTGGTTATACTTTTCTCTGTCACATCATTCTTATGCTAGTCTATCTCAGTTCATTTCCAAAGTCAATGCTTGACTTCCAGCATCCTAAAACAAGGAAAATTACATTACAACTTTGGTGGGTTTTTTTGTTTGTTTTTTTTTTTTCAGCCTGTTTTCACACAGTCCAGGGTAAGACTGGTTTCCACTTTGCCAACTTTTGCTGTTTTTACAATCTGAAGATAATATGAGGCCTTGACTACAACCTCAAATGCTGGGATAGGTGTATGCTCTTCAAGTTTGTAAGCAGCTTTAAGAGAAGTGGGTCTGCAGGACAGATTGACAGTGTTTTTGTAGCACTTGGCTGTCTGCTGCTCAAAGCACTGAAACAGTCAGCCCATGCAGCTTTTTATAATATCTGCAGTCATGAACACACTATTGAAAACTAAACTCTGGACTTCTGTTAATGATTTCTGGTGAGACTCATAACTTATTTTAGTACTAAAAGAGGTCAGATGCAGTCTTCATCCCAAATACCTTGTTCATGGGTCAGATCTTGACTGATTGCTGTCACCCTGTAAAGGCACTATTGGTGGTATTTTATTTATATTCCTCTTATAATTTTATTGCTGGTTTTTGTTTTAAGAACAGTAATCTGTTTTATTGGTTTAAGATTAATATTAATGTGGCTTCCAGTAGGTAGAATGCTTTAGGAGAGTCATTAATTGACTGCAATTGAACAGTATTCTGTTCCTATGATGTATCAGATGTTGGGTATTTAATGTATAGGCCAGAAACATGCGTATTTCAACCCAGCCCATAAATCTTGTCCTATGTACTTCTGCAACCACACATCTCTATGAAGTTCTAGCTTAGATGGAAAATAGAAGGTTTTGTTAACCAAGATACAAGAACACTTATTTTTAATTTCTATAAATTATTTGGGGGTTGGACTAGATGATCTCCAGAGGTACCTTCCAACCCTAACAATTAGGGTTGGAACTATAGGCTTCTTGGAAGATACAGCAGGTGTTAGGCAATTACAGAATGGGTAGATTTTTGAGTGGCCACACAAATACTACTGCAATTGTAATCATTAGATTTGGTGCTTAATTTTTAATTTTGCCATTTTTGTAACAGTGTATATATACATGAGAAGAAGTTGGCTTAAATTTAGTGACATATTTTCCATATTTTTTTTTTTCCAGATCAGAGACCGTCTACCCTTGATGTTCTCAGGAAACTCAAGGCTCCACCTACTTTTTTTACTGCAACCAGACTTTCTGCCATGATGAGTGGAAGTGATGAAGTATATGCAAACTGCATGGTAGTAGACCAAGTAAGCTTATGGTTTGATCTTTCGGCAATTTTTTCATCATCTTCTGTTAAAGTAACTTTTTTGTGTGATAGTGAGATCTTTTGAATGTCAGCAGTGGTGTATGGCCAATTAGCAAAGTTCTAAAATAAAACCTGTAATACCTAACTCTTCTGTACTTTATAACCCATTTATGAGATCCCTTTTAATAGATCTAGTTGGTGAATAATTAGGAATTATTCTCCCTAGCCTGTAGGAAGGAAGAACTCTAAGGCAGCTCTTACTGTCTTTTCTGTGTGTTTGTGAGCTAAATGGTGTTTGCTTCTTTCTAATAAACATTAACGCAATATAACTTCGTCACGTGCACTCAGATTTTCTGAATTCTATGTACATTCACAAAAAAGATAAGTCTGCTGATGCTGGCTAATATTAGAAGCAGCTTAGGAAATAGGTGCTGGAAAATCAAAAATGCATGATATGTAGGCTGATTTTTCCAAATTAATTTGCATAATGTTTGAGTTCTCTTCCATATGGCTCCCAGACTAATGTATTATGCATATTTTTTGCTTGACTCAAGGCTATTTTTTAATAAAAGCTATAAATATATGAATCAATATATTTAACAGAGGGCATAAATATGAGCGAGAAATCCAGTAGACTTGCAAATGCAAATTCATTGCTACTCTAACTATGGAAAAATCAATGCAAGGTCTAGAATCTCTTACCATATAACTTGCCTTCAACTCATGTGCTCTAAAAGTAATAGGTGAAAATAAAAGGCAAAACATATAACCATAAATAAAATGGAAAACTAATCTGGTCTTTGTTCCTTGACAATATATCTTATTAGTGCCTCTTACCAACATTATTTTTTTCTCTGCAGGCTGGAGATTTAAAGACTAACTATGTGAAAAGTGAAACATGTCTTAATCCCACCAATTCAATCATGAAGGCTAAGAGCTCTTCATCTCCTTCTCTTGAGAAGAATGACCAACATATGTATGTTCCAAAGGAAGAAAACCAAAGGCCATTGAAAAATGTAGAAAATGCAGGTGTAACACATACTGATGCATATAGAGCAGATTCATACTTTTCATTCAAGACTCATGGATTTATTAAGGATAGGGACCAACTGTATGCTGACATGAAAAAAAAAAGGTATGGAATTGACTTGATGACATGGCCAGAATAAGGATTATTTTTTATAACATTTTACTTCAAAATACGTAGAATATGTAGTAGTGGAATATGTAGTGATAAATATTATTACTGAGATAAAAGCACTAGTTTTAATCACTGATATTTAAATTGTCCTAATGATCTGTTTTCGTAAAATAGTTATGAAGACATTTTTAACAAAAATCTCACCCATGCTTCCCTCAGTTTTATTCTCTGTTAAGAATATAGACTGAAGTCTGTTGAACTCTCTGGGAATCTTTCCATTCGTTGCACTGGCCTGAACCAACTTGTTCCTGAGTATGCATATTTTTACCTCAAAAGACACAGTATAGAATACAGCCCTGTGTTTCTGATAGGTTCTGGCTGTTTTCTGCTCTTCTGCTGGTGTGCAGGTTCTGTTTCCAGGAAAGACAGTTCTCTGAGGATGCTGCTCCAGGTGGATTTGAGTTATGGTTGGAACTGGTTGGATTCAGGAATGCAGAGAGCTTTGAAGATGAAACTATAAATTTTGTTGTTACCAATTAGTAAATTTCTGTGATAAAAGGGCTTTACTGTTTCTCTGTAAAGAAGGGATGTGAAATAGTTCCTCCTGCAGAAGAGGAAATTTGAATCTGTCTCTCACCTTTCAAAAGTGTTCAGACCACTTGGAGGTAGGACATCAGATCTATGTAAAAATAGTAAGGAAGCAGTAGTATCAGTTATCATTTAAAGTGGGGAATAACATTTTATCTACCTTAATTCTGAGTTTCTTATGCAACTATGAAGTCCCTCTAGACAGAATCTTTTAACACAGGTAATACAACACATATCAGACTATGAGTTATTCCTTCCCAGATCTTTTCTTTTTGCTAGCTTTTATTTTTTGCTATGTGGCAAGTTACTTAGCAGGTCTTTAAACCAGCTTTTTATGTCAGAAAAGTTCCCTGGGTAAGTTACCCCAGTAAGACATGTATGCTTGACTGCTGACATAGGCATGTATTACTTTTCCAATTTTAAAATGCGACAGTAACTTAATGCAGTTAGGTAACTCTTTTTTGAGATATCACGTGGGCTATTATGAGGAAACATTGCGAAAGATGGTCTCCAGAAGTGTAATGAGGATGTAGTTTTGGGCAGTATCGGTATATTTGCCCTTCAACAAACTGTAGTGGTGTGTGAAGGAATTGTGCTATTATTCCTGGAAGGAACTTTGGCTATTTAGAAATACCACACATAATTCAGTGTTTTATGTTGTAAGGCTGGAATGTTGTTGCAAGCAGTCAACCGTTCCTTCCAGTCACTCTGATGGAGATCATGAACTTGCTCTTGCAGTTAATAGGACTCATCCTCCTGCCTGGGAGCCTCGCTAATCAAATAGTGTCTAGGTGTTTGAAGTACTGATTCAGCCAGAGATTGTTTAGCCTGTTTATAGTTTGGTATGTTTTTAAATTTATAGTTTTTTAAGTGAATCTTAATGAACTGTCTCAGACACTCCTTCATCTCTTTTGTTATTTCTCTTTCATCCTGGATCAAGTCATGGATGTAGAAAAGATATATCTTTGAATAGCCATATCATATCTTTCAAATACACACATATTCATATAATTATTGAACAAAATATTTGTATATTATTGCACAAAATATTCATAATACCCATGTCTTAATACTGAAATCTGAGCTAGTTGTCTCAGTTCTCCTTATCATTGGTATAGATGGGAGGGTTCATGTGTGGAATAAAATATCTAATTCTAAGGGAGATGCTAAACATGTGTCTGAAAGTCATCCTTCACATGTGTCTGACAGTGGTGGGAATTCGTGTGGTAGCAAGTGATGCAAATGTATGTACTGGAGATCCAGAAGGTTGGGTGAGTCCTATACGGGGTGACTGAGAAACTTGACCAAGTGACTTCAAACCTGAGAAGGGCCTCAGAGTGTGACTTAACCTGACATAATCATGGTGTTTTGGGTTGTCACTGAACAGAGTATACAGCAGTATTTTGATTGTTGCATTAAGGTTGAGATGTATTATTACTTGAATTCATGGGAAATAAAGACTTCATTGTCTGCTTCAGTTCAAGTCTTGATGACCTTGAAGTTGATGGCGGAAGTGATGTTTCGGACAGATCCCATGTTTGCTACCCTCCCCTCAGCTCTTCAGAAGCCATGCCTAGTAGCAGAGATGGATTGGATTTATCCACCAGTCTGCAGCCTGAGGTATTTGATACTATCTTGCTTTGCATTGTTTTTCCTTTTAAGTAATTCACTGAAAAAATCTGAGAAACATAGGAATCTGAAGGAGAAAAATAAGTTCCCAGTTAGCAATTCTCGTCCTTCTGCTGAGCAGCACATATGGGGGCTGTGGAGCTGGAGCTCCCCATTTGTTGTGGGGAGGCTTGGCAGCAGCCATGGGAAAGGTCCATCAAAGATTTACTTCAGTTTTTAAAAAAGCATCATTTATTTATCAGAAGCATTTCAAAGGAAATATCTCAAGTTCAGTGATTCAGCATTTTCTAACCAAAACCTATTTAGCAAGCAAATGTTTAACCAGCTTTAGTTATGTGAAAGGGTAACATTTTTGTAAAGTGTAAAACCAGCCTGGTGCCTGTTTCAAAACAGTTGCTAAAGTCAGGGAAATTCAGAGGGGTTTGTGCATTGACGAGTGCAACTCTTTCCTCTTCATTATAGTTTTCTAAATTTTCCTGGCTACATTAATTTTCATTAGATAGTGGTGCCATTTCTGAGATCTTCAGACACAAAGAGTGTTTTTTTGTTTGTAGGGTTTCTTTATGCTTTTATTAGACAGACTTTTTCCACTGTTGAGCTTTATCTGACTTTCAGCAAACAATTACATGAAAGGAGAAAAAAAGTCCAGCACGAACACTGAATTCTGCTAGGGCTGCTTTTAAAAGAATTGCTTTTAAAAACAATGAGGTAAGCAGTTTAGTAGTAGGCTCTGTTGAAATACAAGTGATGTATCAAAAATCAGGCATGTTCCTTTCAAGATCAGGAAATCTTTTCACACACAGTAAAAGAAGAGAAATAAAAAAAGAGAAGAAGGCTAACTCCTTTCTTTGGAAACTCAGGCATAGACAATTACCAATGCAGGGTGTTAGTCTTCAGGAAATAATTGCGAGGTATTAATAAGATCAATGGCTTCTTTGGTAAAAGAAGATAGCTTGGGCATTGGATATAATGGCTGCAATGCTGTTTGGATGGTGCTTGCCACCAGCCTGGAGTAGAATGTGAGCTTTTTCTTAGCCTTTTAGTCTAACTTGCACCCACAGATTATTTCCTGTAATATACAAAGATTTATCGTCGTGGAAGTATGACAGACTTCAAGTCATCAGAAATTGTACTTAAACCTTTAAAGAAACCAAGAAAACATGTGTATGGTCAGTCACCTTTCTTCCAGAAATTCTGTCACTGCCTTCTTTTGTTTATGTTACTGATGCATTTCAAAATTATACAAATTTTAACTTGCTGCGATTTCTTGTAGGAATGTGCAGTATCTGGGATTCGGTCACGCTCCTATTCCTGCTCCTCTCCCAAAGGTGTATTAGGAAGACCTCACCTTCCTCGAGACTTTGCAGTTGGGGATCCAAATGAAGGTCAGTGCTCTGGCTTTGCACCTGCACAGCCTCAGCCGTTGCCTGCCTGCTTCAGGTGCAGTGCTGATGGCTTTACTCAGGCCTATCCTGTACATGGATCTTGCCAATATCCAGGAAAGCAGAGTCCAATTGTCTTTTAGTACCTCTACCATTGTCACGTGCTCTTTTCCCATCTACTGCCCCATCATGCTCTCCCCTGATGCAGGAGCTGATCCTCGGGAAGGCACAAACAGGGAGACTATTAGTCAGAAAAAGTAATGCAGGCAAGGGCAGTAATCTTTTCGGAAGATCCTTACCCCAGCCTCCTGCTGGGTGCCCAGCAAAGACATGAGGAAGCTCTGGATGGCATAGAAGAGGTGTCAAAGAGGGTGGATGGCCCAGCTTCCTGCAGATCCCGGGGAGCATCTGAAATATGGATGGGCTATTATTATCTCCATAGGAATAAAACCCACCCTCTCCATTAAGTAGAGTCACAGATGTTTCTGCAAGAAGCTTGTAATGTTTTACAAACTGTTTCTAACATGTTTTGTTTCTGGACAGTAACTTCATATTTAGAAGACAACACACTTTTCGCAATGATGGCATGGGTTATGTTCGAGAACCATACAAAGCATGAGATACATATATCTGATGGCTTTTCATATAGATCACATCACTTAAAGACCCCCCCCGCATTTCAAGAGGCTTGGCCTCTGTCACTGTCATACTTCCAGCTTGTCTCTCCCTCCAGTTTACCTTTAGCTTTCCGCTAGTCCTGAGCAAGAGGCAGGATGTATCAGTTACATCAGAACCAGATGTGATCAACACACAGAGAAGTTGTGGGTGCCCCATCATTTTAAGTATTAAGGCCAGGCAGGATTTGGCTTCAAGCAACCTGATGTAGTGAAAGATGTCCCTTCCTGTGGCATGGGGATTTGGACTAGGTGATATTTGAAGGTCCCTTCCAACCCAAACCATTCTGTGCTACTATGACACCAAATATAAAAACACACAAAAGTTGTGGAAATTTTACATTACCTTTGAAACCAGACAACAAATTCAAAAGCCATTGGGAAGGTGAGATGGAGAAAGCTGGTGGGCAGGCATACATTGTCTGCAGACATCTTTTTTTCCTTAAGAAACTGTGAAAAGCAGGTTTGTGATTGCTCAAATTAACTGTAAGATTCCACGTTCCCTTGTAAGGAGGAGCATGTACAGCAGGCTGCAGCATGCAGCTATGTTGTATTTTTCCACATCACTTAATGTATTTGTAACCATTTGTATCTAACAGATAAGGTGAGAAGTGGGGCAAAACAAGGCAGAATAAAAAGAGGAAAGTATGCCACAGAAGTAGAAGATGGGCAGATCAGCAAGCGCAGTTCATGTTCCTAAAGTTAAACCAGAATTCCTTTGAGCTTGCAGCTAAGAAACTGTTGGTCTTTCATCCATTACCTGCTCTGATCTGAGCTCAGGCCTCTGTTCTCTTCATTCTCTCTCCCCTTCCTCCTGGGTCAGACAGTGCTGAACCTTTAGCTGTCTTGTGGAGAAGGCGGAAACTCTTTTCTGCCCATGCTTTGGAAGCAGTCTGTTCTGCGGCCTTCCCTGCAGGTGCAGTATACTGCTGGGATGGAGGGTGGTGGTTTGCTGAGGTTCCTGCTGGTGCATCCCTGCAGCCAGCACCCCCTGCCTTGTCCCTTTCATCTGTAAGAACAGGAGCATTGCACAGTGTTTGGCAGCTGGCTGTGGTGGCTACTGTGTGAGGCAGGCACAGCTGTGCTTGCTTTGAGCAGTTGCATCAGAGCATGGGGCTAACCCAGGAGCTTAGTCCAAAAAGCTGGGTCAGGCAGTTTATCCTGATCTCTATGGGCTGTAGTGTGCTTGTGTCTGGGCCTGTGCAGGTGTCTGCACACCAAAAACCTGCCTGTTCCTCTCTGCCCAGCTGCCAGCATTTAAAATATCTCTCTCAGGGTTTAGCTATTCAGAAGCGAGGTGCTACTGACCTTGTAAATTGAATCCTAAGCCAAAGCAGATGAACACAGGATGGCAATAGGAAGGTCTTTCATACATGAAGTATGAGAAAAAAAGTGGGAAATCACTCTCCATTGCTGATGAAAGCTTTTCAGTATGCTCAGATTTAAAACAACTACCTGCTTTTATTTAAGAAGGTATTACTAGGCTGTAACAGTAAAGGATTTGTCCCTGCTCTGTAGATGGTGTGCTCATGAACAGTGGTCGATCCCTTCTTCAGGCTCTTTCACTCTCTAAGTCAGTGTCTCTGCTCCACCCTTGTAGTAAGTACAATGCCAACCCCACAGCGCCGTTTTGCATGAGGCTGTTTGCGTCTCCCATGGGTACATGGCCTTCATTTCTTCCAACAACATCCTGAGGCACCTATTGTGCCTGACAACTAACTGAACTGCCCTTTTAGTCTTGCTGCTTCTTTGGTGTCTTCTGAACCATACCTGTAATAGCTTTGCAAAATATGACTGGAAGATGGAATGGCTTCTAATGTGGAAATGGTAAAGTGGTGTGTATTTTATTATTTCTTCCGGAACAACCCCGCTGAATTGCTTTTCTTTAATTTTGCTTTTTAGACAGTTTGTTGGAAAGTATCTGTTTGAGTCCTCTCTACTGTTTGTAGGATGTAAACTTACAACACTACATACCCTGTGCATTACACATACTAGTAATAATCCTCTTCATGTAAAGGGATTTATTATTTTTTTTTAATACTGCAGATAAAGCTGCATAAGACAGGTAATTGCAAATGTTAAAAGAATGTCATTAAGGTATTTTACAACAAATTATGTGAAAAGCAAAATGAAGTGTGAATCATTCAAGTCTGGGTTATTAAGAAAAAACAAAAGAAATACTTTTTGTTATTCTTAAAACCAGACATTTCCTCGGAAACTGGCTTTCACTGATACCCATCTCAGTTCTGGCAGATTCTGACAACTAAACAAAGCTTACTAGGCAGCGGTCTTATCCTAGGAAAAGCTGCTTCTAATGTATATATGTTTTTGCTTTCCTAATTTTCAATGACATTGCAAGCCTTTAATAACAAGCTTATGGCCTGGTGGAGGTCGCACGTTTCAGATAAACGTGACGACCTCGCAGCCTGAGTGCCCTACACCTGTTCATGTCTTGCAGAGCGAGCATACAGTCTTCCGGAGCACTGCCGGGACAAAAGGTACTAGCGCCTGCCGCGCCATACCGCGCTGAGGGCGCCGGGAGCGGATGCAAGAATGCCATCTAGGGAGCGGAGAAGGGAAGAGGCCGAGGCACCTCTCGCAGCGGGGTTTTAGCAGCTGTTTAGGGGAGCACTCCGTGCCCGCTGGATCTGTAAACCCATGCTTGAATTCAGCGCTCTCCTTGCTGTCCTCACCGCGCTGCACAGCCCGCGGTGGGCATCTGCGGCACGCCACAGAGGGACCCGCGCGGCCGGGTGCCTGTGTGCCTACCTGCCTTTGGACCATTAAGGTTCAAAACACCTTAATGAAAGCAAGGGATATGTGCTACCAGTTGTGAACTACACATGCTCGTAACACATTGCACATTCAGAGGGCTCCACGGGCTAGTGGAGCAAGACAGGACAAGAGGTAACAGCCTCAAGCTGCGCCAGGGGAGGTTTAGACTGGATATTGGGAAAAATTTCTTAACTGAAGGGTGCTCAGGCATTGGAACAGGCTGCCCAGGGTAGGGGTGGAGTCACATTCCCTGGAAGAGTTCAGAAACCGTGTAGAAGAGGCCCTTCGTGGCGTGGTTTAATCCTGGGCTTGGCAGTCCTGGGATAATGGTTGGACTTGATGATGTGAAAGGTCTTTTCCAACCTAATTGATTCTATGATTCTAGTGCTACTCCTTTACTTAAAGAGGGATTGCACAGTTTTTTTAATAACATCAGCTAAACCCTCAAAATAACAAATAGTTAATTGTAAATGTTAGGTGGAATAATCACCATCCAGATTCTACTTTCTTTTAAGGGACTGTACCCTGCTGGAATGAGTTTGTTTTTTTTTTTTTTACTGGTCTTGTTTTAGGATTCAGGAGGAGGAATGGAATAAATATATTGTACCCTCAAAAAATGAGTCTGAAAAATGTAAAGTGAGTCGAACTTTCAGCTTTCTGATGAACAGAATGACCAGCACACGGAATAAGTGCAAGGTAATTTAGGATTTAAATCCATGTTATTATATATAATTATGTCACTGTAATTAAATTAATTATATATGAGAATATAATTTTTTATGTAAAGTTGTTTATTACAAAACCACATAAAAATACTAGGAAGAAACTTTTTTTTTTTAAATTTATTTTATTTTAAAACATATGCAGGATACCCTGAAATCGCCTTCATATTAAAAACAGCTTTCTTTTTAAACAGTAACCTTGCTGAACATCATCAAGTATTTCCCTTGCCATTATTTTGATGTTATTAATAATCTCATCTGGCCATTTAGCCAAAGTTTAAATGCATTAATTTCTTTCAAAAATAATTCTGTTCTTTAAATAAAGAGGTATGGACCTGTGCTTGCAATTGCTTTCAACAAATACCTGAGTCTGTAACTTCTACATTGGCATGTAATCAGTTGAATTTGCCTTACTTGAAGTTAATGGGACTTATTGCATGAGTAAGCACTACTTAGAGTTAAATAATTGCAGACTTGAGGTCTTCACATTTGAAACAAACTTACTACCAAAGGTAGATTAGAACATTTGTGGTTTAATTTTGAGACATCTGAAATTTAGATTAACAGCATCAGTCAGCAGCTTGAGAGATGGATCTGGCCTATGGGATCTTTTAGCTGGCCTTTTGGCAATTTTGCAGTCTTTCTAGTACACCCTCCCATGCCCCAGGATATCCTAAGGTACATGAATTTTAAGGTGGTTGGCTGAGGCAGTATCTTCAAGAGTGTCAGAACTGGCTGTGAATATGTATGTCCGGTCCAGCAGCCATACATTAGCCTGTGTCTGTGTGGTCTCCTAAAGGATAACTACCAGGGCTGCTCAGAGATTGTGTACTGACATCAATAGAAGTACTGTAAAAATAGGCGTTATTAAAAATAGGTTATTTCTAATGTCTTCTAAGACCTAAAGGCAAGTTGTCTAAATTTACATAACTGCAGCTTTAACTGCAGAGGCATGAGTTTGCATGTATGCCTCAGGGAGATGGAGGCATTGGTATCTGTGTATGTGTGCAGGGAGTCAGTAACACTTCTTAAATTTTACCATCTGACCCTTCCCTTTTTGCAGCTTTATGAGTGTATTTCTGCCAGTCTTCCATGATAATGCTGACTGGCTTAGCTGCCAGTGAAACCAATTCCTGTATCATTTTAGGACTTCAGCAGTGTTGGGTGTAATGATAACAGTGTACTGTTTACAAGACTTCTAGGACAGGGAATAAGTATTTTAGAATTATTCAATTGCTTCTTTTCTAATGTCCCTTTTCCCCCCCGCCGCCTTTGCTCTTGGGGATGAAGACAAAAAATAAAGATACCAAAGATAAAGAGAAATTGAACAAGCACAATTTTACAAATGGAACCTTCTCAGGAGTTATGCCATGTATGGCCTGTGAAAAGGCACTTCTAGGAAGAGAGTCACTGCAGTGCTCTTGTAAGTAGTTGTTGGCTTTTGTATGTGAACTTACAGTGCTCTGAATCCTGCCTTGAGATTCTGATTCAGTGTTTTGTTTCAAAAAGAAACCTTACTTAGATTTGGATGCACCTCCTTTATGTAATTGGATGCACCTCCTTTATGTAATGATCTGAGGTTGGCAAGGGAGAGGGAGGAAGGACAGCAGATGATGGATTCAGAAGAGACCACCACCATCTCCCAACACATTAGGCAAAAACTTCTTCCTAGCAAAGGGGCTGTAACATGAAAGCATTCTCAGGGAACTGGACCTGCAGGAGGGAAAAAGGTGAAGCCTCAGAGTAGTATTTTCTGCAGGCTGGAGACTTTGTGCTAGGTTTTGAAATATGCCTTCTCTTTCAGATTGCAACGTGATTGTGCATAAGAGCTGCAAGGAATGTGCTCCTGTGTGCACCAAGGTAACCTCCTACACCACACTGTTCTTACTAGAGCACATCTGCTTTCCAAGGGGTATGAAAACATCACTAAGAAAAAACAGAAAGTGCACACAGTCTGCCAAGATCCAGTGTCTGTATGCAAAAGTCTGTAAGGGTGTCAAAATATCCACTGTGGGCAAACAAAGCAAATACTGTACATGAACAACACTTTTTAGAATAGGGTCAAAAAAAGAGTTTAAAGTGATATTTCTGTTTTTGAAGAGTTGCAAACTCAAATTGTGGTGTGCCAGGAGGGATGCAAAAGGGGTTAAAAAGGAAGGCTCCTCAAAAGCCTTGTGTAGCCGGGTTCTGCGTGGGTGGTGGGTTGCAGGGAGAACATGTTTCCTTACAGACTCTTCAACATAAACAAGACTTAAACAAGCCTAAAATAAATCAGGTGAATTTTTGCTATTTTGGTTATAGCTGTCATGTCATGTATTTGCACACATTTCTGGGCAACTTTAGGGCATTAAGACAGCTGAAGTGGCAGTTCTCATTACTGCAGCAGATAGATTATTTGTGAAGAGGAGACAAGAACCCACACCACTCGTGACTTACCTCAACAAGAATGAGGTGCAGAAAACTTTCACTAATGAAATACATGCCTAGCACAGTAGGCTTTTGCTATGGGTTTTGCAAAACTTCTGTTTGAAAGGGGGATTGATTCTGCCTCTGATAAGCAGGATTCCTTGGGTAGTGCCCTGCCTATGCTTCAAGCTTATTTGACTGTAAAGCCTTGAATGGCAACTCCTTTACTTGCAGCATTCGCATGCAGTATTTTTATAGGGAAAACAGGGTGCTGTAACTCAGTGGCAAGCTTCTCTGTTTCGAATAAACAGATTCAGTTTTGTACTGTAGTAAAATATTATAATTATTCTTTGCCTATTGTATTATTATCTACCATTGTTATCTACCATTAACTAGTAAACCTGCATTTATTAGTTATGAGTAGAAATTAGGACTATAATTCAGGACCACTTTCCTGAAGCTGTTTTGCGTGATGATACATGGAAGTCAGTTCCTGACTTGACTACTCAGTATTATAATTCTTCTTTGCCTATTGTATTGTTATCTACCATTAACTAGTAAACCTGCATTTGTTACTTATTAGTAGAAATTAGGACTATAATTTAGGACCACTTTTCTGAAGCCTTTTTGTGTGATGACACATGGAAGTGAGTTACTGACTTGACTACACAGTGTGTTATCAGCTGTGATTTCATTGCAGTATCACAAAGTTCTTTTTTTTCAGAAATCCCAAGAGAGGTACCATAATAAAAGCAAAACCTCCGCTGGTGTAACAAGTAAGTTAGGAGATGTAAACCTAGCACTTCTAAGTTAAGCTTTGTTAAAAACCTTGGGACTGACAACATGAACTTTCCTGCATCATTTTTGTGTCTGTTTTCATTTCAATATCTATAAGAAAGTGTGTGTGTCTCTAATACCAGTAGGATTTTTAAAAGAAATTACTGTTGAATTAACTCATCTTCTACTAAAATGAATTGGTGAGAATGAAAATTGAAGGTAGTTAGTTCTGTCTTGTGCTTGTGAGTATGTTGTTCATTGGATGCCCAAATATTTGAGTCTCCTATGTTCAGGTTGCAGTGTTAGAGCATGTGTGATTTGAGACTGTTTTCAGTAATATCCATGCTGGACCTATTCTACTTTGCCTACAGGCTTATCTTTATATTTTGTGGGAGACTGTCATGGTCTTGTACCATGGCAAGTGGACATTCTTTATACCCAGTATGGGTATATGTATATATATATGTATGTGTATATATATATATATATACACACACACCAGGTAGTGTTTCTCAGTATAAGCGTGCTGTTGATGACATACTCGAGATTGTTTATCAAAATGTGTTGTGCTTTGCCTTACAGATTCCCTGCCTGGAGATGCTTCACAAGCAGTGCTCTTCCCAGCACATTCTTCTTCCTCTATGCCTATCGGACTGTCTGCTGGAAGGAGGGAAGCCTCACAACAGTCCCAGTTCTTGTCCAAAAGTGTCCCTAGTGCCAGTTTTGAAAGGTAAAGGGGACTATGCTAAATAGTCCCCTATGCTAAATAGTACCTCCTATGCTAAAGACATCAAATTTCTAGGAAAATTGGTACTATTAAATAAACATGGGTTTGTTGGTTTGTTTTTTTTTTCCTGCTGTAGAAAATCTATGCCATTTTCTGAGCAAGACTCTGAGACTAGCAGCTGGAGGTCTAAGTCACGTTCAGAAGAGATGTTACAAGCATTAGGGACTGTTTCTTCAATGGATCCTTTTATGATGGAAGGTGAGAAGTATTGCAAAGATGTTGCATTTTATAGCCTGTATTAGAAAGTACAGAATAGCAAAACTCTTTATTAGATATAGGAAGTAACTTCATCTGCTGAAAGAACACCTATTTTTTACAATTACAGTCGTGTCCCTCATTAAAATGTTACAATCAGATATCTTAGTCCTAAAATACAGATTTTCCTTTCTTCCTTGTAACTAAATCTTTGATAACTTTTAGAATATTTTTATGTGGTGTTAACATTTTAAAATAACAGGGATAAATGTATTTGGCATCCTTGCAGAACCAGAAGACCGACACATTTCTGCACTTATCCATTCATCTCCATTGATGGTATACATTGCAAAACATAAGCCTACATCACTTGTATTTCCCCAGTGCCCGCAAAATCTTACCTCCCACTGGTAAGCTGCCCTCCTAAATTGGCTGCCTATCCTTGTGAAGTGAGTAGATACAGGCTTTTTATGTAGCTAGGTGTGAGACTGGATTCCAGAGCCAAAGGGCTTTCAGGCACAAAGGATAGTGCAGATATCTCTCACTGGATATCTCCTTCCAAAAATGTTGGATTTTATTTTTAAATTTAAAAAAGTTTCTTTAAGAGAAGAAGTATGAAAAGGATTTAATATGATAAAAGAACTGTTTTTTTTTTTTTTTCTCCTACTCTCCCCTGTCACATTTGCATTTCATCACTTTGATGGTGATATTGGCATCTGGCAAGCTTCCCTGTTGTAAAGCTGCTGATGATGTTTGCAGCAGCCTTGTCTAAAGTTCATGTTTGTGATGTGTTGCCCTTACTGTATGAGTACATCTCTGTGTTAATGAGATTATATATTTTGTCACAGATTATGTGGATTTCTCTCAGTGGACTGATCTCCACACAGATGCACAAGAGTTTGAGGCAGAGTCCTGGAGTCTTCTTGTGGAACCAATGTTCTGTAGAAAGCAAGAAAAGGATGTCATCAAGAGGCAGGATGTCATTTTTGGTCAGTATTTCAAAGCTTCATGTAGGTTTAAAAGCAATTTGGCTTAGAAACTAGAGAGTGAACCTGCACATTTTATGCTCAGAAGAATGAGTGCTTCAACTCAGAATAATCAGAAGGTTCAAAGAACATTTTGGTCACAAATTACAATATATCCTAGAGCTAAGGAAATTGAGAGTACTGACTACTAGTGACATTTCTACCCTGTTCACAGAACAGTTGAGGTTGGAAATGACCTCATCTGATCCCCAGCTCAAGCAGTTGTAATCCCAGCTTGTTCAGTGGGGTACAGTTGAGAAAACTATGCCAAAGCCAGATAAACTAAGTCTTCCTACTTACATAACCTATTAGATTTGAGGCTCACACAGAAAAAAATACAACTGTGAATTTGAATGTTGCTAAAGTCTGTCTTAGGTGTGCAAAATGTTCAGGTGGTTACAATACTGTGCTGTTTTCTCTTATACTGCAGAGCTGATGCAAACTGAAGTGCATCACATCCATACCCTGTTCATTATGTCTGAAATATTCAGGAAAGGGATGAAGAAAGAACTGCAGCTGGATCACAGCACAGTGAACAGAATATTCCCTTGCTTAGATGAGCTACTGGAGATGCACAGGCAATTCTTTTGCAGAATGAAGGAGAGACGGCAGGAATCATGTGAGGCAGGGAGTGAACGTAATTTTGTCATCAGCAGAATTGGAGACATCCTTGTGCAGCAGGTAGAAGCATCAGCTCTGTTAATCCTTTATGTACTTAAGTTTCCGAAATTGAACAGTTTATTTACTTTAAAACTTTTGTGGGCAAGAAGAGGGTTATGGTTACCTTATAAAATTCAAATGCTGCTCCCTCCAGATTGTTACAGGCTATTGAAACAGCAGTGAGAGACCGTTAATAAGAGGTAAGTGTGATGAACTTGGGATGAACTTCTACCTATGTGGTACAAGTGACAAGGAAAGTGATGAACTTGGTCCTGTTCACAGTAGAAGGCCGCTGCAGTCCTATCATGGACTCCAAAAATTAAAGCAGTGGAATCACTTTTCTAACAGCTGAGCAAAAGTGTGAAGAATTGACTGGAGAAGAAACTACTCTTTCATTTCTTTTAGTGATCTGGCACAGTGCATCTTGAGTTGCTGCTCACTAGAGAAGGGGTGGTGACAGCGTGTCTATAGACCTGTATAGGTGGCTGTAGAACAGCTGACTGCTTGCTGGTCACACTTCTAGCACTTCACACATTCCTTGCAGTCAGGAGAGTGTGTTTTTTCACCTCAGTCAGTCAGTTTTCACTCCACTGAATAAAGCATCTGAACCATTATCTTGTCTAGAAGTTGTGTGGAGATCAGACAAATGCAAATAAGCCTAAAGGGATTGTGTTTGCACAGAGGTGAAGGAAGCACTGTTACAATAATTGTTCTAGCTGTTACTGGGAAGACTGTAGGGGAAGTTGCTTGTAGCTCTACCCAGCCTATGTTCTTCCTCTTGCTCTTAAAACCAGTTTATTCTTTAGTGGCGGGCCCTTTTAGTGAAATTCAGAGAACTTGAGAAACAAGTAGCATAAAAGTTCTGTATTTTTACAAAACACACGAATTGAAGGTACACAATTTCCTATTAGGTGCACTAATGAGCATAATTCACTTAACTAATTTCTTCAGTTTTCGGAGGAAAATGCAACTAAAATGAAGAAAATATATGGAGAATTTTGCAGCCATCAAAAAGAAGCCGTTAATCTCTTCAAAGAGTTGCAACAAAACAAGAAGTTCCAGAATTTTATTAAGGTAAGTTTATGTGGAAATGGATCACTATTGACAAAATGCTCAGGAAAAAGACATGTAGCTTTTACTTAGATTTAGGATTGAAATAATATTCAGTAACTCACTTTTAATGGCCGATAAAAATGGCAAAAATTTTTCCTCCTTAACCAGTGAGCCGATAAATTACATTTTTCTTTCAAATTTTAGAAAGCTTTGGCATCCAGTGTGCATTACACACATGTTCCTGTTATGGTACACCTCGTACCTCAGGGCTGCAACTGTTCCTTGGGGATGGTTCAGATAACCAAGCATTTTGCTTTAGTTTATTCTAATGCATTTGGATCATATTTCTTATTAGTCAGTTGGTGGTTTAATATGCTTTTACTACTTAAGGTATGTATTTGTATCTGTATCTGCAGCTGAGAAACAGTAACCTGTTGGCACGACGCCGAGGAATCCCTGAGTGCATTTTGCTTGTCACCCAGCGAATCACCAAATACCCTGTTCTGGTTGAAAGGATATTGCAATACTCAAAAGGTGAATGTCTGGAATCCTAGCGTATTTCTAACTTAAGGAATATACACTGCTGCAATATTGCAAAGGGTGAAATTCAGTGCTCTGTAGAGAACAAGGGCAAGGTAAATATCTCCTGTTCAGGCAAATGCCACCTAAACGCGGTGTCTGGTGTATGTAGTCTTTGTCAAGGCTGGGCTGTGAAGAATTTCAACATTCCAGCTGAGTAAGCCATTGAAGTCTAGAAGAGAATACTTGTTTTAGGAGAAGACCTTGACTAGAGGATGTGAACTAATTCAGGCATACATCTGCACCTTCTTGGAAATAATTCTAGTGGAGTCTCTTGTAAGTAGGGTAGGTAAATGTTCTGTAAATGACTTGCCAGTTTTTCAAACAAAGCTTGAAAGACCTCTGGAATTTTGTAGAGCATTTTAGAAATACTAATAACTTACAGATATTCCCCCCCTAAATGGGCAGTAAAAAGCATTGGAGAAAGTTGTATAACCAAATGCAAACCCTTTATGCTTCCAATCTTGTTTCAAGGGTTCAATATATTATATGATTTAGTTAGTAAGTAAAATTTTTTAAATGCTAACAGGTCATAAATATGTCAGGAACTATTCAACATGCTGGTTTGACTTACGAGTACATCCGAGGTACCTGTCATCTTTTAATAAGCAAGTCAAAGTAAATTGATTGCCAGGTTCAACTTAAAATGGCGTATTTATCAATTTAAACTTTGCATCATGCTAATTGCTCACAGAAATCAAGGAATGATATCTATCTTGAATATCCTGCCCACTAACGTGTTCATTTTTTGTTTCATACAGAAGGGACAGAAGAGCATAAAGACCTATGCAAAGCCATTTGTCTAATAAAGGATGTGATTGCAGAAGTAGATTTGAAAGTGAATGAATATGAGAAAAAGCAAAAACTGCTGGAAATTCTCAGTAGAACTGAAAACAAAACATACACCAAGCTGAAAAATGGCCATGTTTTTAGGAAGCAAGACTTGATGAGGAAAGAGAGGATACTTCTTCATGAAGGTTTAGTGTACTGGAAGACAGCAACTGGTCGTTTCAAAGGTATTCCAGTAAACCCCTTTAACTCTTTGTTTACAAATAATGTATGAAAATTGATTTGTTTAAGAATTAAAATAACTTTATGATGATGTACTGCAAACACAAATTTCTGAAGCATTAAAAACATGCAATTAATTGCTAGAAGAGTAGTTGCAGAAGCTGCCATGGTTTCTGGGTAATCCACTCTATATGGGTAACAGGAAAAGTTCACATACAAAGCCATCAGCTGCGTTTCTGCTTTCTGTCCCTTGCTTTTAGTTCATCAGTTTGCAGTTTCATCCCATAAAATTGAGTTTTGACTTCTACAATAGTACTGTTCACAGTACTGGCTGTTGAAATCAAAGCATGAAAAATCAGATGCTGTCACCCCCCTCGACCTGCTGTCCACGGTGCTTTTAATGCAGCCCAGCACATGGTTGGCTTTCTGGGCTGCAAGCGCACACTGCAGGCAGGTCATTTTGAGCTTCTCATCAACCAGCACCCCAACTCCTTCTCAGGTCTGCTTTCAGTCCAGACCCTGCCCATATGCCCATATAATTGTATATACTTTAATTGTACTACATATGCTGTATATATAGTACTAATTTTACTATAATTGTAATAACTTTAAATAATAAACAGTTATTTTCCTTTTCAATTTTAAAAACATTCTTTTCCTTTTCTCATTTTAAGACACCTTAGCTCTGCTTCTAACTGATGTACTACTGTTCTTACAAGAAAAAGATCAAAAATACATCTTTGCAGCTGTTGTAAGTATATTACCAGATGTTTGAATATACACGTTGCACATTTATTCATATATTTCTCAAAAGTTAAGTCCTTTGATAGGTTATACTCAACTTTTTTTCTTCTTTTCCCATTCATAGGTTAAACCCTGCTAATATTTTCAGAACAGTAATATATCAATATATGGAAAATTACATTTATTTTCAAAATTAAATCATTTTTTGAGGAAGAAGGATGCAAATTACAGAATGATATTTTTAGTGTCATGCCGCATTTGATTATGAAGGCTTGAAGTAAAGCAGACTCTTTCAAGTATCTAAACCAAATTTTAACTTCTGGTTCTGTAAAACAAGCCAGAAGAATAATTTTGACTCCAAATGTAGTAGTAAACACACATAAAATGTAGGAAAAGTCATGCAGAGATGTTCCCAAATTATAAAAATGTTACATAGATACTGTACCTCAGTATCGCTTAGCCTCTGGGATTTACTTTTTATCACATTCCAAGTGCTTTACTTGACACCTGAGTACTCAAAGTTTGCAGCGTCTTATACCTGGTGAAGAAGTGTAATCTGACTATACCATGATTAGAATTAGTCCAATTAATAGAAAAATCATGCTCTTTTAAAAGTGTGATGTTTCCTAAGAAAGTAATTTATTATTTGCTGTGACTGTTTCCCCCAGGACCAGAAGCCTTCTGTTATCTCCCTTCAGAGACTTATAGTAAGAGAAGTAGCCAATGAAGAAAGGGGGATGTTTCTGATCAGTGCTTCATCTGCAGGGCCTGAGATGTATGAGGTTCATACCAATTCGAAAGAAGAACGTAACAACTGGATGAGGCATATTCAAGATGCAGTAGAAAGGTAGAGCAAAAGGCTTCTGGTTTTCATCCTGGCAATCCAAAACAGATGGGCGATTGGTTGGATAGTTATGGCAGCATTCTCTCTGTTCTGCATTGCACTGGATCCATCCTTTGAGGCTGGGATTTCCACTGAGCTCAGGATTCACAGACCCCAAAACCTCACTGTCACTTCTGCCAAATTTCCCATGTTACTTCTGGTTTCCCACTGGATCAGCAGACCTTTCCCACTCCCCATTAGATGTCCTTACCAGCCATTGTAAGCTTTCTTCACCTTTACCTTTGGCACTGGATGCTTCCCAGAGTCCTGCAGGTGTCCATACAACCATTTTGGGGAAATCCTCCATCATGCCTGTTATCTTGGTGTCAGTTCCTTAAGAATGGCAGGGAAAGCATTGCCCCTTATGGGGCCCAAGCTTATGCTTAGCACAGCAAACCTGCATGAGGGCCAACCACCTATTTGCTGCATGATGCAGCCTTACCAGAATTAAAAGGAATCCTTCAGTCTGGTTTATGTCAGTTGCTGATTTTTAAAAAAGCAGACAGATGGCATGCTTCTGGATTGTAACAGAAGTTTTTGCTGATGTTGTGTTCTGTTTATTATGAACAGAACACTGTACTGAAGACGAATATGTGATGTGCAGATTTTGGTTTATCCATCTTTGTTTTTCTTTCATGTTTGAAGTTGTCCAGAGGAAGAAGAAGAAGGAAAAATGAGTGAATCTGATGAGGACAGACGTATTGCTGAGGCCAAAGCATGCAGAATTCAGAAATGTCAAGGTGTGATACCTTCCCTGCCACTCTGATAGCTCCTGCATCCTGACAGTTCAGGATGAATGAATCATGCTCACATACTTACTGTTGGGTTCAGAGTGGCTTGATAGGCAGAGCCACAGTGGAAGAAGCTGGGGTGGTCTGATGGTATAATGTGAGTTTATTGAAAGAGAACCACTTTTTTTCCCAAACACTTCATATTTTTGCCACATTATCGTAAGTATGAAAAAGAAAAATGGATGCTTTTGGACTAAACGGTGTATTTCCCAGATTAACATCAGGGTCAGGTAGTTTCATGTTCATGGAAATATTCAGATCTTCAGTGATTGTGTGACTTTCTGCTTGTTTATGGCATTTCATCCTTTGCTGGTATTGTTTTCATCTGATAATGTAGCTAATAGGGATCAATTCTGCTTCTTTGGTTCCCCTACATGTGAATTCCACATCTTTATCCTGCTGTTGGGGAGAGAAATAACAGCCATATTCTATCTGTAGAGAGTCAGAGGAAAGTGCATCCTCTGCTGAGAAGTGTTCTTTGATGTTGAGGTACTGAATCAGTACATCTTCTAGCTGCCTGAGTGAAGAGCTATTCCAGCATCGATCATTATGAGTACACAGGAGGTAGTTAGGCCCCAGAGTGCAGCCAAGACCACTTCATAAGGGTAGAGCGTTGGCCTAACTCTCTGCCAGGGTCTTTGCCAGCTTTTATAAGGACAGACTAGGGAATGAATTTTGGTTCCTGGCCACTTAAAAAGGGCCTAGCTTGAGTCAGCAATGTTTGTGTTGTGCCATAAGGATTAGAAGAGTGATTTGGAACGTGCTTTGCCTGCATGATAAAAGAATATTAATATGGTGTTCAATTTTGATTGACAGAATCACTGAGTAACCAGGATCACCAGATCTTTAGCTGTTTGGAAAAGAAGTTTCATATCCATGCAGAACTGGTAAATATGAGTGGGTTTGAGGATGTTCATGTGGAGCCTTACCTCCTTATCAAACCTGATTCTGGAGAAACTCCACAGGCTTCTGCATTGCTGGCAGCAGCACTAAAAGAAGGTGAGCTTGCATGGGGAGTGTAAGCTGGTGGCTCTTCACATGGGGAGATAATTCAAGGTACCAAAGTACAGCCATATTGGCTTGTGCTGCTGTTCTGTCAAGTCTGAAGAACTGGCAGTGTCAAAACTTGGCAAAGGGCATTGAAGAGATGTATATTTGTCAGATGCATGAGATGGTATTTGCCAGGTTGTAACATAAGAGGTATGTTTACTGCATAAACACATATATAAGTAGGCAGGGACAGGTTGTACCTGATGATTGTTTCCTTAGCTGTCCTTGCAATACAGCCCTGTGTTGCAGATCACAGTATGATATTGCATCTGGTTCCTCACCTTCACCTACTTTGGTGGATTTGATGATAGATAGAATCATGCAGGGCATATACACACCAAACTGCAGATGATGTGTCCCTGCCCATGGCAGGGGGCTGGAACTAGATGATCTCTTTAAGGTCCCTTATCATCCTGAAATCATTATATGATGCTATGATCTGGACAGATCTGCAGAGAAACACTTGCCAGAATTGCTGTAGGAGCCATGTTTTTTCTGGATACTAACAGATGATAGCCTTATGCTACCTACAGGGCTGTCCTCTAAAGGAAGGAAGGGAAGGGTATTTGTGGGTACCTTACCTAATTGGAAGTTCAGCTAAGCTCAGCTGAAAATAGTCCTGGTAAACTAAGCTGTATCCAGCATGGGACCTGTGCTTTTGAGAAGGACTGTAAGATTTCAGCAACTATCACCTAAATTGAGATCTGTGGGCTAATAACATTTCAACCAATAAAGCGATAAAGTTGTTCATCATTCTAAAGTTAGAGAGCATTTTGTTGATAAAATTGGTAAAACTTGGCAATAGTATGTTAGTTAAAATGGCAACCTATACTTACACACCTGATTTGCCCACTTTTAATTTTCACTTTCTGTCATGCTGATATTGGTGATGTCTTGGATTGCTTACAATATAGGCAGTTTGCGGGGATCATTTTCCAGAAAAGAAATTCTAAGTGCCTGAGGTAATAGCAGACTCTGTAGGAATAAGACATTGCTCACACTAGAGAAGGATAGAATTAGGGAGTGCTTAAGCCAATTGGATATACACAAATCCATATGAGACAGGATAAATGAAAGGCTGCTCAGGGACCTAGCCAGTGTCATTGTGACACTGCTTTCTGTCATCTTTGAAAGGTGACAGTGATGAGGTTTGTGATGACTTAAAGAAGGCAAGCATCACACCCCTCTTCAAAAGGGAATATATAGGGAATAACAAAATAGTCAGCCTCACAGCTATCTCTGAGACATTAATAGACCAAATCGTCCTGGAAGCCATTTCAAAGACCATGGAGGAAGTGACTGGGAACAGCCGACATGGATTCATCAAGGGCAAATTGTGTCTGGGAACCTGACTGGTCTTATTAAGAGAGGAGATCAGTGTGTGTTGTTTACCTTGACACTGGCTGTGGTATCTTTACAGCTGAATTGGTGGGATGTGGACTGCATAACTGGGTGGAAAATAAGTCTGGACTGCTGGGCTTATAGGACTGTGATCAGTGATAGGACGTCCAGCTGGCAACATGTTATTAGGGAATTCCCTAATAACTCCAAATAACTTCCCTAATAATCTCCAGGAATAGCCTGGAGAAGATAAGGCTGTGTGGAGACCTCATAGCAGCCTTCCAGTATCTGAAGGGGGCCTATAAGGATGCTGGGGAGGGACTCTTCATTAGGGACTGTAGTGATAGGACAAGGGGTAATGGCTTGAAACTAAAACAGGGGAAGTTTAGATGGGATATAAAGAAGAAGTTCTTTACTGTGAGAGTGGTGAGGCACTGGAATGGGTTGCCCAGGGAAACTGTGAATGCTCCATCCCTGGTGGTGTTCAAGGCCAGGTTGGACAGAGCCTTGGGTGACATGGTTTAGTGTGAGGTGTCCCTGCCCATGGCAGGGAGATCAGAACTAGATGATCTTAAGGTCCTTTCCAAGCCTAACTATTCTATGATTCTATGATTCCCATTTGGGAATTTGAGATCAGTACTGTTCAATATATCTATTAATGAAGTTTACCAAGGGATTGAATACACTCTTGGCAAATGCATGCCTGTCAGCAAATGAAGTGAGCAGTGTGCTAGAGAGACCTCTACAGATTGGGAAAGTGGGCTAAGAGAAACCCCTAGAAGTTTGACAAAGACAAGTGCAAATTCCTGCATCTGGGGTGGAATAACCTCATGTGTTGGTACAGGCTTGACATTGACAAGACAGAAAATAGCTTTGCAGAAGTGGACCTGGGCGTCCTACTTGACAGCAGATTGACTGTGAGGCAGCAATGGGAGCTTATGGCAAAGGAGGCCAGCTGCTCCCCAGGCATTAGGAGAAGAGTTGTCAGCAGGTGGTGAGGGAGGTGATACTTCCTTTATTCACTCCTGGTGAGTCCTGTCTGGAGTGCCATGACTGGTGCTGAGCATCGATAGAAGAGAGGCATTAACAAACTGGAGCAAATCCAGTGAAGAGCACTGAGATGACTAGGAGATTGGAGAACATGACCTCTGTGGAGAGGCTGAGGTAGTTGGTCTGTTCAGTGTTGAGAGAAGAAGGCTTGGTGGGCTCTCACTGCTGTCCTCAGCTGCCTAATAGGAGGATATGGAGAAGTCATATTTTTTGTGGAGGCACATGGTGATAGGACAAGAGGCAAGAGGCCTCATGTAGAATACATGCAATTCCAATAAATGAAAGGAAAAATTGTATACCATGAGGGTGGTCAAAAACCTGAAAAGGTTGCCCAGACAAGCTGTGAAGTTTCCATGCTTGGAGATGTTAAAAGCTTGTCTGGGCGAAGCTCTGAGCAACCCAGTTTAGTTTGACAGCTTTGAGTAGGGCATTGGACTACATTACCTCTGAAAGTCCCTACCAAGCTAAACTGTGGTCTGGTGTCATTGGTTTATACATTAAGAAGCCATTTAATGGGTGTTTGTAATTCTGTGTCTTTTCCTCTCTAGTTGAAAGTCTGCATGTTGCTGTAACACTACAAGGGAGTGAAACAGACAGATCACCAGAAGAAAGTATTGAGGAATTAAGTGTGAGGCACAGACTTAGTGCTGATGAAATCTTGGAATCTGTTCCTAGTGGTGAGTAAAATTTGAGGCTTTTACGTATTTAGAGTGCTAAAATAATGGATACTGGATTGGAGTTTTTTGGAAAGCTTTCTCAGTCTGTGGCAGAATGAATAGAAAATAATGTAAGAAAAGTTGTCTTTGGGCAAAGACAACTAAATTGTCAGTGTAACTTCGTTTAAGTAAACAAATGGTTTGCATCCACTGCACATGCCTGCATTCAGCAATATTGAGAGAGATTTGCAAATCTCCATATACTTTCTTATTTCTTATTACTCAACTCAAAAGCAAATCTATATTGCAGTATAGGCCTTTTCCCAAGTCAGCTCATTTTTGACGGAAGGCCTGAAAATTGGTAGTGATATTCCAGTAATTTCAGTTGTAAAAGCTAGCATGAATTTTTTATAACTAGAATGCAAATAAAGTCCTGTAAAAACTATTGCTGCAGAGCATTTTTCATGGTACAGCTATACTTATCTCTAAACTTTCGTAAGTGAAACACTACTAGTTTTTAAGGTGGGAAAATTGAATTGTCCCACCTGTGCCATCTTGGCTTCCAAATTCATATTTCCCCAGCTTAGAAACTGTTATATAACTCCAAATTATGTAAATCTCTATTTTCAGCATCCTGCAAGAAGCTGTAAAAAAGGTTTGCCCTTTGTCTCTCTAGTTAGAATATGCTTTGATACCTTTCTCTTGCATTTTATTGGGGCTTTATTTGTCAGTTGCAGAGTCATCTGAAGTTGATCTCAGTGCTGAGAAGGAAAAGGCAGGTGCCAACCTGGAGGATAAGGTATTGTAACTGATTTTTCTTCCTGTGCTGCACACCGCACTCTGGGCACTGAGAGTGTAAATGCTGTCCAAATTTTTCCAGGGTATCTAAAGACTGTTCCAAAACACAAAGCATGGGATAGGCACATTTCACCCAAATTCAGATAATTCAATTTAGTACAGGTTACTGCAATTAATAATGAATTTTTAAAAAATCAATCATGAACAGTCAAAATGCAGAACAGTTTTCCTACCAGGCTTACAGATTGGTGGTTGTAGTAACAGCCACAGTGTTTCCATGCCGTTTGTATGGGCCACTTAAGAGTCTAGTTCTCTGCTGTCATCATTCAATACATCCATCTCTATGGATCTTAACAGTAGTATTCCCTTTACTCCCTCCTCCTATTCACATGATGATGAAAGTCTCCTGCAATGATAGAGACCTCAGCTAATGCAAGCAAGACTTACGCACTGGGGAACTTTGTCCTGAGAATAAGGATTGTTTTACACCAGCTTACTTCAGAGTTTTGAATTAAAACAAAGTGGAGTGATTGGAGAAGAGAAGAGAAAGTGCCCTGTTTTTTAAAGTCCTGTATCTCATAAGCAAATCTGGGGAAAAAGGAGGATCAAAAGGCAGTTCTGGACAAAATGAGGAATGGCAAATTTAATGTAGCAGCAGAGATTGGAGTAAGAGTAGAATGAATTACTGTGTGTAAATAAAGTGAACTGTAATTGTGGAGGCCTTAGTTGGAGAAGCAGGACCACAAAAGGAATAAAGTGGAGAGACAAGAAGAGAAATACATGACTTGAAATGGAAAGCAAAGTTTGCTAGAAAAGGGAATACTTAGCATTAGCATACAGTCTTTGCATCAGATCTGAAAGAGGGCTTGACTCCCTGAAGCCTTATTTGGTTTTTTCCTAGCTATTTCTGGAAGACTCTTGCTAATACACTAATCTCCCTATAACCTTGCCTGATGTTCAGCTCTAGATCACCTTACTTACCAGGCTGCTGTGTTAGAAGGGAGCAGGAAGAGGAGTGTGCGTGGGAAAGCTGGAATGAAAGCAAAAGTCCAGGTGAGGGAGCACAGAAGCTAGGTGAGGGAAAATAAAATAACCTAGGGGAAATAAAATAACCTAGTAGAGGATAGAGGGGCTCATTAAATGTTCCACGTGAAAATATTGCCAATATTGCAAGTTGCAGCAAGGGAAATTCTTACCATATATAAGGGATAAAAAAGGAAATATGACCATGAGGGTGATGAAGCAGGAACAGGTGGTCCAGAGAGGTTGTGGTCTCCATCCTTGGAGGTTTCCCAGATTTGCCTAGAAAAGGCCCTGAGCAACCTCATTTAACTTGGAAGCTTTGAGCTGCATGTCGTTTAGAGGGACTTGTAGCAAACTGTTCCACGGTGAGTTAATATAAACATACAAATTCTAGTCTGCCCTGTTACTTGCGCAAGGCTCATGTCCGTATCTTACCGTGTTAGAATCAGACTTACCAGGAGGTGGCAGAACGAGCAAACAAAACACGCAAGGCAAGGGCTTTCAAGGGCTGCTGCCTGCCTTCGGTCGCCGGGTGTGCAGTCCTGGGGTTGTGGGGCGGCAGCGCCGGGCTTGGGCCAGCTAGCCTGTGAAACCCAGAGCAGGGCACCCGGAGCGGAAGCCTCCAGCTCGGGGGTTAGGAGGTTACGGAGAGCTTTGTGCAGCACATTGGGTCCCAAATGGGCAGCTGTGAGAGGTAGTACTTATCTCATTCCCCTGCTCTTGCCTTGTAATCGCACCGCTGGGGGATTGTCTGGGGCACTGTGCATGCAGTCTGCCCTGGGATCTGACTGTCCTCATCTCCGGTGCTGCTCATCTCTTTGAACCGCAGTGCTAGGGCAGTGGCAGTGACCCACAACACAGGTTAAACAGCCGAATATGTTGGTTTGGACCTAGCTGGGCTTGTGCTGAAGCTGTATCTGTGCAGCGGCTGTTACCCTGGCTAGTGTGACTAAACCTGCTTTAGGCTCATTGCACTCTTTGGGCTCATGCCAAAGCCAGTTAAGCCTTCAATCCCCATGTACACGTCGTGTGTTAAATTTAAAAAGGCTTCAAAAACTGAAAGAAAACTCACTCTTGTTCAGCATGTGGACTGTGCTTTGTGCAGTTCCTCACCCTGCCAACATCTCTTTTCCCTCTCTGTCCCTCTTGGCCCTGCTCTTCCTCCTTGCCCACCGATCATTTTGGCCGCTCAGCAAAGGAGGTGGAGCTGTCTTGTGTCAGTCCTTGTGCTCTACAGAGGTGTCCCATCTGCTGCTCACAGCAGAGCTGAGCAGTTGTGTGTCTCAAGGGTGCAGTGAGGAGAGGAGAGGGTGAAGATGCAGAGAGGGAGTGGAGGGAAATACTGAAGGCAGATAATGAGAGAGAGCAAGACAGAAGAGAACGGGAGGAAATGCTGCAGCTGCTGCTCCCTTTCCCCCTAGCTTGTCTGCGTTGAGCTGTATTTTGGGGCCTGGTCTTTCTCATCTTCATTTTCAGTTATCACAGCTAAATGGAGCAGCTGCTGTGCTCTCTGTGGTGGAAAATGAGACTCAGTAGAGAATTTAGGAGAATCAGACTGAGAGATTGAGAGTGCAGATATTCCCCAAACCCTCCTCTGCTCCACTGAAAAAAAAAAGAGTGAAAAATCATACAGGAAGTCTTTCAGTGTGGCCTCAGAAGGGATTGTGTTTTATTTCTCCGCTGTTTCACTGTATCTTTCTCAGAGGAGCTGTTTTTCATGCTGCAGGGATTATGGGTGGCTTCACCCCATAAACTTAGAAAGCTTCTTTGGAAAGGGGTGCAAGGTGGAAAGAGTGAAATGTCTGAGCCTTGCTGCAGTGAACAGCAGTAACCACACTGGTGTGTTTTGCAGAGTATAGCAGGCACGCAGCCTTTGCTCAGCACCTCACAGCACCTCTGAGGCATTCGCCATAGTCCCCTAATGTGACTTCTGCTAGCTTCTTGCTACATTAATATCTCTGTTTTTGAAGAGTCTTGTTCTGTTTCATCTTACTGTAAGTAATCTAAACCCGCTGTGCTGTATATGCAGAAGTCTGGTTACTGTATTTCAAAACTGTCAGGTAAACAAAGAATGAATGGAAATGTCTTTTCTGTGTAGCATTAGTCACAAGAGGATTAAAATTGTGGATGAAATATTTTTGTTTTTACAGTTGTGCTTAGAATCCCTAGTGATTTCCACGGAAACTCCAGTGTTGATGAATTATTAGTCTTTGTAGGTTATTGCTTCTGTCTTTTTTCACATTCCCACAAAAACATTTGACTCAGCACTGCATATATTAGTGATATGAATGTATCCATTAGTTTAAAAGAAATACCTAGATGATACAATTCTGAAGTTAAAAACTACTTTATAAAGCAACATGTGTTTATTTTAGGGAGGAAGTATGAGTTTCCCAGGATCTAAAGGGACAGAGGTGAGTTTATTTAAACCCCAGACAGAATGTAGTAACTATTTAATTTACAGTGGTCAAACCTTTGAAAATCCTCCTTTATTTTCTAGATTGTACAAGCAGTCCACAACTTAACCCGTCTCTTGTACAGCATGCAGGTAACTACTCCACTGTTAACTTTGTAGAGTAATTAGTCTTAATAATTTACGTCTTAAGGTTTGTTTGCCCTACTTTTAGATATTATGTCAGTATATACTTACCTCTAACAACTGTTGAATAAATTGCCATACAATATATTTTATTCTGTATCGGTGGGTGGTTTCTTTTAAGAATTGAATAATACTTGCTTGGAGATCAAGCTACCTCCAAGAAGATGTGTGTACAGTCAGAAAGTTTAGGGGGAAAGTAATGATAGCTCTAGCTGAACTGATGTAATTACATGTACAGATTTCTGAAATTATAGTTCAAAATACTGAAAAATTTTAGTATTTTTTTCAGAATAATATCCTGGCTACTGGTAAACAGTGCGTCTGCCACTTAGGTAGCAAACTCAACCCATTTGAGATACTTCAATCTCAATTATTGTGTATATTCTGTAGGGACTTAGTCTCACATTTTTGCCTCTTTCATGCCAAGTTTGACTTATTTTTTCTTATTTAGGTGCAGTTTTAAATATTTCATTTGAGTATGTTTAATTTTTAGACCCTCTTAACATTAGCATAGTTTATAATAATCCTGGAAGCCTTGGTCTTAGAAGTTAAAGAGATGGAAGCAAAGTGATAACAAAATAAAAAGCTTTCAATTCAGGCAAATTTATTATTTTTTAATTGAAAAATGAATAGCTGAATACCAGAGGGGCAGTAAAATAAGGCTTGGGATCATGTCTTACTTGTTCAGACCATGAATTAGCCTTGCCCTGTTTATAAATCTCTGGAACTGACTCAATACTGGAGGGAGAGCCAAGAAAAGTGGGAATTGCACATTGCATTAAGTTAAAAACTCTGGGGTGGATGGTATGGGGTAACGGGGCTGTGGGAATTTTCTGGGAATGTCTGCTGAAGTAAATTCCCATGTCAGCTCATGAAGATAGGCTGTGCAATAAGTGCCTCAGCAGATCTAGGGCTTTCTTGCTTTTCTTTTTTCTTAATCCCAGCTATTTATTTTTGTGTTATTGAAAGATGTCACGGTCTTTAATGCAAACAATGTCACAACATCCTTGTTAAGGGTGGAATATAGCGCTCTCGGTTATAAAGTAACTATTGAAACGTGAAAACTGAAATCATTACTATACTGTAGATTTCTGCCAGCACAGATACCTGCGTCAGGTGCAGGTAGCAGTACGGTCTTGATGACATGACTATATTGGCAGGTGCTTGTAGGACTGATGTTAGTAGGACTGTGCTGTTGCAGCTTAGCAAGGAAAGCCTTAGGGTTGGAGTGAGCTGTACTGGAAACAGTACAGTTTTAACTGTATAAGCCACATCTGTGTTAGGAATACTGTGGTGAGTGTAGCATTCCCTGTGCCTTAATGCCGTCTTCAACCATGAAAAATCATTTTTCCTATGTGTCTTAACATCTTCTGACAGAACAGGACCCCAGCTGTAAGTGAAGTGCACATGCACAGCTATAACATAAACATATATAATAACACTAAGTGTAAACCAGAAGCTGTGTTAGAAGTGCTTGAAATGGTTGAGTGCTTTTAGAAGCATTTCTTGGTAAAGGCATGAACGCAGAATTTTCCCTACTTCCATGAGGAATAATATCCCAAAAAGTGTTAAGCGCTGATATTGTGGGAGGTTGAAGCATTTTTACATAATGCTGCTACATAAAAGTACAGAAATGGATTAATGTTAATGTTTAAACATTTGTGTCTGATTTTGTTGTGGTGTCTAGGCAGCATTAGCTATCCAGGACAGCCACAGAGAGCTCCATAGGTTACTCCTGCAAGAGAACGAGAAGATTGGTCGGGGCCATGGTTCTCGGCTAAACCTCCTCCTGGAACAAGAGAAATACCGGAATCTGGAGAAACAAAGGGTGGAGCTGGCCAACATACACAAACTGAAGCAGCAGTTCCAGCAGGAGCAGCAGCGGTGGTTGCGAGAATGCGACCAGCGGCAGCGGGAGCAGGAGGCGAGGGAGGACCGGCTGAGGCAGCGGGAGAGGGATTGCAGGTGCCAGGAAGAGCTGCTGGACGGGAGCCGACAGGGGCTGGCGCTGCAGCTGCAGGAATACCAGCAGAGTTTGGAGAGGCTCCAGGAGGGCCAGAAAATGGTAGAGAGAGAAAGAGACAGTATGAACATGCAGAAGAAGCTCCTCTGGCACTTGAAACATGGTCCTCAAAGTAGCCTGTTGTCATCCACAGGGAGATATGAGGTGTGTGGTTCCCTGCTGTAATTACATCCCCACTGCAGACCTAGAGAGACTTTTCTTGATGAATAGACTAGTATGTCTGGGTTTCGTTGGCTGGTAATGTAACGAGTGAGCATGTGCAAAGCTGAGGTTCAGGCATATCCAAGGGCTTTGCTTGAACCTCATGAAGTTTTACCAGGGGAAGTGCAAAGTCCCGCCCCTGGGAAAGAACAACCCCATGCATCAGTATATACTGAGATGGGCATCCAGCTGGAAAGCGGCTTTGCAGGACCTGTGGGTCCTGGTGGACGCTAAGTTGAACGTAAAACAACGTGCCCTGGCTGTAAAGAAGGCTAGTTGTCTTCTGGCAAAGTATTCCTAGTAGCTCAGGGAAGGTGATCCTTCCCCTCTGGCCACAGCTGGATGCTATGTCTAGTTCTGGCTCCCCAGTACAAGACAGACACAGAGCTACGGTGTATGCGATAGGGGGGTGGGTTGGAGGGAGGCAGGTGGGTGAAGGTCCACAAATCTGTTTGAGAGACTGGGCATCTCTCTTGTGAGGAAAGGCTGACACTGCTCAGCCTGGAGAAGAAAAGGCTTATCGGGGTTCTTATTAATGTGTATAAATACCTAAATGGAGGGTATAAAGAAGATGGATCTAGGCTCTTTTCAGTGGCAGCCAGTGACATGACTAGAGGCAATGGGCACAAACTAAAGTAGAGGAAGTCTGAAGATCAGGAAACACATTTTTTCCTATGAAGGTGACCAAGCACAGGTGCAGGTTAGCCAGAGAGGGTGTGGAGTCTTCATCATTGGACATACTCAAAAGTGTCGTGGTTTAAATCTGCGTGGCGCTGCTTGAGCAGAGGGGTTGGGCCAGATAGCCTTCAGAAATCTCTTCCAGTCTCAACCATTCTGTGATTTTAAGATGGGTGCCCTACAGAAGTCAGACTGATGGGTATTGAGGAGGTGGAAATTGCAAGTGTTATATTCTGTGTTTTGTTATGTTTTGCCTCTATGTTTGCAGGATACCTAGTGTCTCCATCTCTTGTATGAAACCTAAATTGCAGTAATGCTTGAGGCATATAAAGCTTTTAGTGAAGTCTTTGGCTGCTGTCCTTGTTCCTGGACAGCAGCACTGACTCCAGTGAGAAAAAGTGACTGCCCCAGGAGTGTGAAACGCAAGGCTCCCATGTGTCAGGTCCTGCTCTCCTGCTCCTCTGAATCAAGCAGCCCTTTAGGGGAAGAGGTTGGTGTGTGGCTCCATCCCTGACGATATTATTCCTTGGAGATGGTCATTATTAGGGGATAGAATTTAAAGTAGCTCTGAAGCTGCTTAAGCATGTAATACTAAAAATTATTAAGTTTTTGTTGATGGTGAAGGATAGAGGCTGACTCTGAATTCAGATGCCTAGGTGCTTACCTGCCTCTACTCCCTGTCCTGGTGGGTAAGGTCATGATTTTTATTACTGTTCTCTAAAGCACCTGAAAATCAAAACATTTAGCCTGGCTTTAGCATATATTGAAAGCTCTCTGACCCAAACAGATTTATCTTTTTTCCCCTCAGGTTTTCATTTTCACAAGAAAATCTGTAAAGCCTTTCTTCAGGCCATCACCTGCCTAGTTTTTCAGCTGGCACTGACCCGTAATGGGCAGTGACTGTTCAGCATTTAAGCCTGTGCCTGCATGAGGGGGTGAAGGATTGGCCTCTGACCTCCCCCTTTTCATCCAGCTTCTGTGAACACTGTGTGAACATGACTTTTGCATACATGCTTGCACAGCCTGAACAGTGAAGCCACTTCTTACTAGTAAATAGCTTGCAGTGCAATTTTGACTTTTTAGGCTGTGCTTAAGAAGTGGATGATAAAACCAAATCAGAACTTGCATGTCAGCTTTCATGGATGGAACTTTTGAAATCTTTTGAGGAGAGTAAGTGGAAGGATGGTAGCCTGATGTAGGGATAGCCAGGATCGCAGAGATGGAGAGGCAAAGTAATGAAATGTTGAGTATCAAAGAGTAGTAGTTCTTAATCTGGTATTTCATGTGTGAGACTACTTGTATTTTTATTTCAAGTAAACTGCATGGTTTTAGATACATTCCAGGCCTTTGTCCTGCGTTTTGCACTACCATGCTCCCTGCAGCAGCAGAGCTGGCTGAGTAGTTGCAAGTCAGGCAGTATTTCCAGGCTAGTGTTTATGCCATTGCACTGAACCTAGCTGGTTTTGAAAGGCCAAACATTGCAAGAACTCACACTGCTACTCTAGCTTTTCTGTGAGCTCAGGCTTGATAAACACCTGCAGGCAGGGAGTCTTTGCAGGAGTTGCATTTTCAGCCCCTGGAAGCCATGTCCATTTACAGAATGCTGTTTGTCATCTCCAGCTTCAGTGCTGCAGTCCCGTTCTGTATGATTACCTGTCTACGTGAGGTAGGGATGTTATTTTTGGATTGCAGTGTACACAGATTTACATATGTGAAGTGGTGCCTCACTCACCCATGAGGCAAATACTAGCCCTCTGAAAGGTTAATATTTTTAAACAGCAGAGCTCAGTGCATCCTAGGTAGTGGCTCTTTGTTATTTGCTATTTCACAGTTATTACTGAGTGCCTGTTTTTTGTGGGGAGTTAAGGCAAAAGGTTCTAGGTTACTGCTGTTTATTCCTGAACACACATCCAATTTAACATGTTTAACTTCTGCGAAATTATGTGACTATTTGCTATAAATCCCCATCTGTCTAGCAGTTATTTTTATGTATCCTGGTATAAGGATTCTTCAGGGTGATGCTCATAACCATATATGGTGTAGGTAGTCCTGTGGGGAGCAGGGAGTTGGACTCAGTGATCCTTATGGGTCCCTTCCAACTTGAGATATTCTGTGATTCTATGATTCTGGTGCTGGACAAAGGTGAAAATGCTATTCTCTGCATTTTTTTCCTCTTCTGCAGATAATGGGAAATAATAAATTGGACAGCTTACAGGATGAAAATGTGTTATACTTAAATGACGCTGTAGTATGTGTGTCTCTAAGCAATCTCAACGGATCAGATTCTTCTCTCATTTATGAGGATGGTGTTTATGGTCTGAACATCTCAAATTCTGATATAGCGTGGACTAGTGAAAATCAGGTGGACCTCAAAATGGACACTTCTTGTCAGCCAACATTAAGCAATGCGCTGTGGAAATCCACTGGTCCTTACAATCAGATGTCATTTTCCTGCAAAAGCAACAAGGATGCCTTTAATAATGGTAATTAACACTTTAATTAACAGATAATACAAGCAGTTTGCCGCTTCTTAGAATGTGTAGTCCTAGGAACAAAAACAGCTTGGTAGTGGTGGAAGCAATAGATTTTGCTAAAAAAAATTGCGTGCTTATTTGCATATTTGTTGAGCATAGGTGAGAAAATGGGCAGAACAGAAATACAGAAAACTTTTGCAAAAAGAGAAAAATCACAAATTCCTGTTTGTGTCTGCATAACGGTACTGAGAATGTAGTTCTCTCCAAATCCTGTCCCAATGTTTTTTGACTTTTATTTTTTTTTTGAAGCTGAAGTCACTCTTGCTGTTTCAAGTGCATTTTTTGGCTGTTTTAGAACATGCATCCATTACTCAATGATTTCTAGTTAGAATAGCTTTTGATTTACCATCTTCAAATGATAATCAGTGGTAAAACACCTTCTTTCTTCATGTAGAATGGGAGTGTCTTGAAAGACCCTGTAGTCATGGAAAGAAATGTACATCAGGGATAATATAATCTTTGACAGTAAGTTTCCATGTTAGTAAAATAGCTCATACTGCGTTACCTTTCTTTATTCTTGTATTTTACTGTAACTCCCAAAGACAGTAGATTGCATGGCAGTTACTGATAGTGGCTAACAAAATGGGTGGAAGAAGCCACGTAAGTACTGCATTGCACTGAAAATGCCCTGAAGATTGAAAAACACTCTAATGACAAACTCTTAAGATATCTGGGGTTTATTTCTCATGTTACACAGTGCTAGTTTTGATCTTACTTGGTGTTTTCATTCTTTCATTGTCGTGAATTGTAGAGCAGCATGTAAAAATACAACAGCTAAAAAGTCTTCAGGGATAATGGTGTACTTCTGGTGTAACAGAGTTAGCAATTTGGTGGTTTTTTTCTGCACACCTGTGAAATTCAGGTGAGGCATGGCAAATCAATGCTGCAGCAGTGCCTGAGCTTTCAGGCAGTGCAGCTGGCATTGCAGGTTAACTTCTGTCTTCACACCAGTTGTAAGAAAGTAAGGTCACAGCAAAGAACAGTGGCGGCAGCAGGATCAGGAGTTGAAAACATGAACAGATGCAGTGTTTGTTTCTTTGTCGTAGGCCAAATCTTGAAGTTGTTTAAATGAAGTCGTTGATTAAGGAACTTGCTCCTTTGCACTCCTTGTAATGTATTAAGCAGACATCCACTACAGACTTAGTAGTCCTTGGTATGTGGATTGCCAAACTAGCATTTTATAATCATAGGGCAGGCTATTCTCATCACCACAACCAGCAAAACAAGCTGATCAGTAAAAGAGATTAATATTTCTAAAAAATATAATAAGAAAAAAGACTAAACAATTAGCCTGATGAAACTTGTTCTGGTTTAACTGAAAGTGTCATTTTAGTGTTAGCTACGCTAGTGCAAATTTGAAAAGAAACACATATGTGGGTTTAAACCTCTCAAAAGCAAATTAGCTTGCACTGCCAAACAGTCAGATGCAAGCTAACCAGGATACTTTCTATTGAGCCCACATAAGAGCATCTGGTTTAATTAAACTGGCTTGTACCGGTTTAATTGCACTGATGCTAAGATAAGCTGGTGGAGCTTCTGTGTGTAAAGGTGCCCTTCACCTACAACGGGCCAGCTTTGTGTTCAGCTGTTGTCACTGCATCTTGTGTAGATATCCTTATCTACCCTGGTAACAGGGCACTGCTGCAGTCCTAGCAGCTTGGGGACCAGCTCTGGCTATAACGCCTGTTCAAGAGGTAGATTAAGAGGCTAGTAGAAGTCTCTCTGGCTAAGTCACGTCTATAAAATCTGCCTTGATCGAGTCACAGGGTGCCTTTGGCAAAGCAGTACAGCAAGTCCTTGCAGTATCCTGATGGTGCAGATGGTGCTGTGAAGCTCCCCAGCATATTGCTAGAGCAGGCGGGGCTGGGAGCCTCCTCCGAAGGATGTGCCATCACATTCCACAGTCCCATTTGTGATTTGGAGGGTGACAAGTATTTTATGCTCTGATCATGCAGTGCATGAGTTTGCATGACTCAGACTTGCTTCTGTCATGTGTAAGGAGCCACTGTATGGGGAACAGGGAATGAGAAGAACGCTAAACTTCCCCCTGAAAGACAGATGGCATCAGAAGCCCCAGCAAATGGCTCTGCACGTGGAAATGAAGTAAATACTTGTTCCTAAACAATGTGAATCAAATTGAGCTGTAGGAATATTTCATGCAAGGGACCTGATTTAATTTTTGTCTTTTTTTTCTTTTTGGCCATGTTTTTTTCTTGTACCTCGATTTTCTGACACTTCTGTAGGATATAGTGAGTTCCAATCGCTGTGGACGTAAACCAACAGAGGTGCAATGAGAGAAAGACTAGAAAGAATTTTAAAGTTAGCTGAAACTTTTAACATTTAATGTTTCATGACATTTTGCTGCATTTTTCAATCAGATATATGTATAAAGTCTCATAATAATATTTAAAAAAATATTTCTAAATGTAAGTCAAAAGAGAACTAAAAACCAACACTGATTATGGTTTACCGGAAATAGCCATGTACCAAATACATACATGGCCAGATCTTGCATATATTAAGCTATACAAAAGGTATTTCTTAGGTTTGATTTATTTACCTAGAATTATTAGGCATCCTGTAAGAAGTCTGGTCTGTCAAAAAACCCCTGGATTATTTAATGAGAAGCATCACCTGAACTTGTTGTCGAGGAGTTAATTGCACTGCATTCTACTGTATGTTAAGTACTATGCAATTAAGCTTCATAAATATAAAAAAAAATGGAAACTGCTGCATTCCTTCACTGTATAATTTTCCATTCATATTTTCTAATGTAAGATGTATGTCTCTTCACATAGCTAGCATCATGATTGCATATCATTGTTTTATGTGTATGGGAGGGAACTTTACTAAAGACCTTAGGGGCAAGTTCCCACAAAGCTGAAACTGGCACGAGTACACTCGCTAGAAAAGGTGTGTCAGTCAACAGGGGGAAAATATGATTGAAAGAAAAATGTGTTAATGCTTTACACTAATGGTTATGAAATTATCTGCATGAAAGAAGACAAGTACTTTGGCTAATTAGGAATCGGGAAGTATAGGTTTTGTGTCAGACTAGACGGAGAATTGAATAAATTACTCGTGCATTTAATTGATATGTCAGGTTTACTAGCTGAAGTGATGCCTAAGGATTTACCTATGGATTCACCTCTTTGATTTCAGGAATCAGTGCAATTTTAATGCTTTGAAGCTTTGAAGTGAATGGTATTGTTTGCTGGTACTGCCTTTCTTTTATTTTATTTTATTTTTTAAATTCAGATGTTACAGCTCCAGGAGTAGAGTTGAAAAGTGGTAGATCTGGAAAACTGCACTGAAACTTCATTGTGGGGGGATTTTCCCAACAGAGGTCTGCAGTGTTAGCATGAAGGATCTTGATTCATGATGTAGTGAAAAAAAAACAAGAAAAAATCTGTGTGGGGACCATAGAAAAACCTGTGATCTCCATAAACAGCCAAATGCAAAACCAGGGAGCAGAAATAGGGTTCTGTTTGACTAATGTGATTATAGTCTTTCTTAAAGGACAGAAATTTGTACATATATACATGCAAATGAGAGAGTTTGATTTTGGTAAAATAATCAATTTAGAGTGTTTTTCATCAAAGTGGTTTCTAGAGGTGTAAAATATTTAATTTGCAATAGAAAAAGCAAAACCACCAGAAACAATGTGTAGTATCCTGTAACTCCCTATTTTTTTGTTATTCTTTACAAGAAATTTCCTTCCTGTTACTTCAGGCAGATTGTGTTAATGGTGATTGTTCTATTGAACCTGTTCTTAAAACTGTAGATGAGATTAATTTGTTTTAGTTTCCCATTTGTAATTGAGATGAGTTTAGCACAACATGCTATTTTTTGGCTACCTTAACATTGGTTATGGCCTAATGGCATAGTATAAAAGTACCTGCATATGTTTACATCAGGGAGGTTGAGGATGGCACTGTAGGGGCCTGGCTCTTTTTCTCCTATTTGTGTAGGATGAATTTGTTGTAAGCAGAAGAGGTATACAACGTAAAGCTGATGAAAGTGTGATAAAAATAGGTGAAATACGCTTTGCACTGCAGCGTTAAAAACCATCTGAATATGTACAGCCTGTTTCCCTGTGGTTCTAAGTTAGCAAGGATTTTGGCAAGGGTTGAAGCTCAGTAACTCAGAGCCATATTCAGATAAGCATAGTTAACTGCTGACAGTACCAGCGACAGCTAATGGGATTCCATATTAAGGACTTTGTTGAATAAGATCACTTTCATCACTTGAAACCTGTTAAATAATGACTAGCTCCCACAGAAAAGTCATCACAGTTCCAGCTATGTGACTGTTGTGAGAATTTCTCTACTACTGCTGCTGTATTCTGAGTACTTCTGACCCACATGTCTTCTGAGCTGGAATGTAATTGTGCCTTATGCAGCACACACTTTATCGTGTTCAAATGGCATCCTTCATAGCCATGACAGGCCAACCACTTACCACCTGCAGAATGGAATGTGAAGATGCTTTTCTGCCTGTTCTGAGTTTTTCTGGTGTGTTTCACAATATTTTTAATAGCAACATTTTTTCACTGTTTACCCTGAACAGTGAGGAAATTCTCTGTTGTTCTTTTACTTGAGAAAAGGGTCAGAGAGAAATCTTTTAGAAGTAAAGAATGACATGACCAGGGAGCTCCTGTTTTTTGAGTCCTGAGCAGATGTGTGGTTTTGAGCTGCTTTAAACTTTTTGTCTTTTTTAATTGAGTAGATGCCAACTTGAGAACATGCAGTTAATTTGTAATTGCCCTTTCTGGGTTCGACATATCCTGCTACTCTTAGGATGGATGGCTGCATAGGTGAGCACAGAGCCCCGTTCAATGATCAACATAAGTTACAGTGAGAATAAAATGAAATGGAAAGAATATGAAGTTGAGTAACATCAGCACTTGCATCTCCCAAGGTTTATTAGAACTAGTAAGATCTTACTTT